GCACACACACACACACACACGCACACATGCACACATGCACACATGCACACATGCACACACACATGCACACGCACACACACGCACGCACACGCCAGCTTTGGGCCTGGGGATTTCCTTCGGCCTGCTCCTGCTGCTGCTCCTCCTTGCGCTGGCCCTCTTCCTGTTGGTTCGCCTGCGCCGAGCCTCGCCCCATCCCAAGGACCTGGTCCGTGCCGGCCGGCGCTTTGCCCCGCCCTTTTGCCCTGCCGCCCGGTGGCTGTCGCCCCCACACTGACCTGGCGCCCTCGTCTCCTCGCCCCTTCGCCTCCTGCGTGCAGGATGAGTCGGCCGAAAGTACGTCATGCAATGCCCCGACTCGCCCGATGCCGCAAGGCCCTCCGCCGCCCTGCTGACACTCGCCCCTTTCGCCCGTGCGCCAGATCTCACGGTCTTGAACACGATGCTCGGTACGTCCACACGCACACGCACGCACACACACACATATATATATATATACATGCCGAGCAGGCCCCCGCATCCCCGCACGCCCGTATCTGACACCGGCCCCCCATGGCAGAGCTCTCGCTGCCGGGCGCCATCCATGTGGACATGGCGGCCGACTTCGCCCCCATCGATGGGCCCCTCGGCACCGGCGGCCAGGCGAGCGTCTTCGCGGCGCGCGCCGTCGGCGCCGGGATCTCCGCGCGCCTCGGCTGCCCCGACACCGTGGCCATCAAGCAGATGAAGGCCGACAAGATGAAGCCCCTGCAGGTGACCCTCTTCCAAAATGAGATTGCCCTCATGTGGTGCGAGCCCCATCGCCTGGCCCCTTCCCCCGCGCACGCCCCCTTTGCCCGCCCCCGGCCGACGGACCGCGATGATCCCGCCTAACCACAACCCCATAACCCGGCCTTTTTCCCGGCCCCCCGCGGCCCGGCCAGGCTCCTCCGCGACCAGCCGCACATCGTGCGCATCTATGGCTACAGCGAGCAGCCGCCGGCCATCATCATGGAGTGCTTCCAGGGCGACCTGGCGACGCTGCTGCACTCGGACCTGGCCCTGCCGCTGCACATGCTCCTGGACATTGCCCAGCAATGGGCCGCCGGGCTGGAGGCCATGCACGCCCATGGCGTGGCCCACTGCGACCTGAAGCCGGCCAACGTCTTCGTCAGCCAGACGGCCTCCTCCTGGCGGGCGGCCCTCGGGGACTTCGGCACCAGCCGGAGCCTGGCCGCCGACCGGGCCTCGGCCCTGGTCACCAGCGCCCCGGAGCTCAGCGCCCTGACCGCGCGCTATGCCGCCCCGGAGGTCATCAGCGCCTTCAATCGCCGGCGCGCCCTCGGCACCGAGAACCACCTCCCGACCGATGTCTACTCGGCGGCCATCATGCTGTGGGAGTGCATCACCCGCAACATCCCCTGGGAGGGCCTGGCCTTCGACCAGGTGACCGAGGGCGTGCTGGCCGGCCAGCGCCCGGATGTCCAGCTGGCCGTGGCCCCCATCGCCCGGGCCAGCCAGTCCCTGGGGCAGAACCTGGCCGACCTTCTGCCGCTCCTGTGGGCGGCCGACCCGCAGGCCCGGCCTCCGGCGTCGCGGCTCCGCCAGTCGGTCGCCATGCTGGCCGTCATGCTGCCCGGGCCGTGAAGGCCCGCCCCCCAGGGGGTCTCTCTCTCTCCCTCTCTCGGCCTCTTTTCCTTTGCCATCCTCCGCGCGGCCGGACCCCCAACAGCGGCCGGCAGCCCGGCGCCTCCCCCGGGGCACCATGCCACCGGCCGCGACCGGTGGCCATAGACCCGCGCCGGATGTGCGCGCCGGCCGGGGAAGAAGCCCCCGGCCGGGCGAACCGCCCCGCCCCAATACACACATCCTCCCCCATCTCCCGGTGTCCGAGACAAAGGCCAGGCGGTCGATTGACGGACGCCTGCGTGGCCGCGTGCGGGTGCCGGTGATCGCGTGCAGCCAGGGCCCAGCGGGGCGGCCCGCCCGGGCGCAACCACATGCATCGGTCCCCCTGTCGCCGGGGCCGCCCGGGCCCGGACATGCGCCCGGGGCGCCGGCGAGGTGGGGATCCCCCGCAAGCGGCCTGGCCTGCTTCGGGCTTGCCCGCGCACGCCCATCCATGCGCCGCCCGCCGGTGCACAGGCGAGGCAGGCGGAGCAGCGGGCGCTGGGGGCACCCCGACGGGCCGCGCCCGAGGGGGTCCGGGCCCCGGGCGCCGGTCCGGGCCCCCTTGCCGCGGGAAGGCCCGGCCAAGCCGGTTGCTTCGGCATTTGGCAAGACACAGCATAACCGGGCATCGCGGCGCATCTTGCCGAGTCTCTGGGCAGGCCGCGCGCACACGGCGACAACACCCGCCCCATGGCATCCGCCACCCTCGCCATGAGCATGCCTCCGCTCCGTCAGGGAAGGGGGATGTCTCCCCGGCCAGGCAGCGCCCAAACACCGAGCCCGGGCCGCCCGGCAGGCCAGCACGACCGGCGGCTACCTCCAGGCCCTCCATGGCGCCGGGGGGGAGAACGCCCCCGCGAACACGGAAAAACACGCGCTACAACGGCCACCGGTTCCCGGCAACGGCCCAGCCCCATCGCCGCATGGGCCCCCTTTCGCCGGTGGCTCGTGGCTTGGGCTGCCGGAAGAAGGAAAAACCCACCGCCGCTGCCATGCGGGCCGGCGAGCGGTGCGGCGGGCAGTGCAAAAAAAAGAGGCACCCCCTGTGCCATCCGGAACCCGGCCACCCCTCAAGCAGCCATGTCCCCTCCGGCCGGGGGCCCCAACTCCCATCGGCCGACCTTCCCCGGCGTGGAGATGCGACGGACATGTGGCCGGCAGCCGGGCCACTTCGGGCCTGTTGCGCATCCCGCGCGACCACGCCGCCCCAGCGACCATGTGCCGCAGGCAGCGAGGGCCCACCCCTCGCCACGGACCGGGGCCTGGGCAGCAGTGGCACGCGTCCCCGGGGGAGGGCCAACCACCGGCAGGCGTCCCGGCCCGCCGAGGCAGCGGCGAGAGGCGAGACGCTGCCTCGGTGCTGCCTGTCGCTGCCCTTGCACATACACGGCCGCGCGCATACATGCCTCGGGGCCGGGCGCGTGCGCGATGGCATTGAGGGGCTGCTCGGCATGCACGATCCTCCCGTTTGGCGGAGTGGACTCATTGATGGCCTTTCCGCCGGCCCGGCTCCCTGAACACGCCCAGCCGCGACACCGGTCGGGGCCGCGACACGCCGCAGTCTCCTTGCCCCCCCGGTGTGCGCCATGCCCTGGCCAGCTCGCGCCCCTCCTGCCCGCGCGGTGGGCCATCATGGCCCCGGCAAGCACCGGCCCCTCGTCCCCGGTGGGGGAGCCCCTTTCTTGCGTGTGGCCCAATCAACGGACAACCGCGACACGGACCCCGCCGCCAACAGCCACAGCGGATGGCCCGCACAGGCCGTGGCGGCGCCCACGCTGAGGTTCCGCCCTCGATGCGGCTCTTCGGCTCGATCGGGCACCCATGGGCGCACTGTCCGGGCCACTTGCGGCCGCGTGTCGCCCGCTGCCAGGGGACTTGGGCCGTGTGCAGGGGGGGGGGGGGGGGGCGCCGCCCCGCACCCGGGCGCCGGAGCCCATCGTGTCGGCCACATGCCCGCCGGGGACCGGGCGGTCGGACACCCGGCAACGGGCGCCGCTTTCGCCTGCTCGGTTCTCCCCTCCTTTTGGCGAGGGTGGCCGCGGCCGGGATCCCTCATGGAGGCTCGCCACTCCGGCAGACAGGTGGCCCGGGCCGGCGAAGGCCCACCACGGCCGGACACCCGCGACAAGCTGCCTCCCACAGCTGGCATGGCCACACGCCCCGGTGTCGTGTGGCCATGCCCTGGCGCCGCGGCCCCCGCACGGAGTCCAGGACCTGGGCACCGCTGCCGACAGGACCCCACGCCACATGCCAACACCGGAAGCGATGTAGAGATGCCGAGAGAGAGAGAGAGAGAGAGGGCCTGGCGCTTCTGCGAGCTTGACCAAGGCCCGACGGGGGATGGCTCCCCCGGGCGACTTTTTGAACAGGGGGCCTGGCTGCACCCGGCGCGCGGCGATGACCATGGCCACGCCTCGCCAGCACAGCGCCGCCATAATGGCCAGGCTCAGTACACTGGCCTGGTTGACAAAACCACTGGGCACCTCGGTGGCCGGCGCGTGCCGGCCTCCTCAGCCGACCGGCCGACCGGCGCCAGGGCCAGCGCCCGAGATGGCGGGTGAGGCGGCCCGCTAGATCGGGCCGATCCCCGCCATGCGCCCCCCTGGGAGCGTGCCGCGACATGGCCACCCAGCGGCCCGGAGGGCGGCCCCTGCTGGCCCGCATGCATGGCACGCGCCATCGCACAGGCTCCCGCCGGGCGTGGGACACATCCCGGGAGAGCGGCCCAGGCCCCCGAGGCCACGAGCCAGCAGGCCCGACGCCCGATGTGGGGCAATTCGGCCGCCGGGGGGAATGGCCGACAAGGACAGTACACCCGCCGAGTGGGCCTTTCGGCGGGGCTCCAAAGAGCACCGGGGCCCGGCCCCAGGGGCGCGCGGCGGGGCATCCGGCTGCCGGGGGTGCTGTGCCACGCGGGAGACCGGCGGCCGAGCATGGCACTCGGGCCCCGAGGGGCGGCCTCGCCCGGCGACCTCGCGAAGGCGATTGCGCCAGACGCCGCAGGCAGGTGCCCCCACCAGCACAGGCCGACATGTGCGTGACGCCCGCAATCGCGAAGGGAGGAGGGAGGACACGCGCTGGCGCGTACGGCCACACACCGGCGGGGGGTTGGCGTGTGGCCGGCACACGGCGTGTGGCCGTCAAAGGGGGGTGGGCCGGGCGCGGGGAGGCCGCCGCCTCCTTCTGGGCACACCGGCCCCCCTCCCCCCCCCCCCCCCTGCACACGCATGCCCTGGGGCGCCTGGCCTTGTGGGTGTGTGTGGTCCGGCACACAGCATGCATGCTGGTGGGTTTGGTCGAGATCCTGTTGTTGCTTCTTTTTTTTTTTGGTGCGTGTGTGGATTGACCCACCTGGGTCCCTCGGTCATGTACGTCTGATCCAGCACCGCCCCCCGGTACGGGAGGTGGCCTTGCCGGGGCGACTGCCCTCTCGCGCTGGGCCCGGCAAGCAGGGACCACGACCGGGGTGCGCATGAGCAGAGGCAGCGCACCCCGGCAGGATGAGTCCCCGCGCCGGGGGCCGCCCCATCGGCTGCCTGTGGAAGCAGACGAACCCCAGGCCGATGCCGGCGGGGGGCGCGCCCGATGGAAACACCAGCCCGCCACGCCTCCCCCGGCCCCTCGGCCTACCGCACCAAAGGGGGAGGGGGGGAAGCGGGGCCGGCGATCCCCAGTCATGTGAGGGCCATGTGCCATGGACGGGCGCCTCATCACGCCGGGAGCGAGAATGCACCCCCGGGAGGCCCATGTTTGGGCACATGGATCGGGAAATATTCTCACGGCGCGATCGCGCACGGCGCTTGCCCTCGCGACCCGGGGCCAGGGGCCGGAGAAGCCCCGACCGCAGACCGGGGTGGGAAGACCCGCACGAGACCACGCGCCCGCGCCAGCGGGGGCACCGACAGAACAGCTGGGGCACGGCGCTGCGGCGGCCGGGCACGCGAGTCGCCCGCCCGCCCGCCGGATTGTCGCTCCTGCCTCGGCGGACTGGGCCCCGGCAGCTGACGGGGAGGGGGGGGGGGGGCTGTGACGCGGCATGATGGACCGTGTGGCCACAGCAGCAGCAGCAGCAGCAACACCCGGGCCTGGCCCCGCATCTGGGCCTGCGCCACGCGATCCTCTCCCGGGGGGGAGGGAGCGCGCGGCCCCACCGAGCGTCCTCAGCGGTGGGGTACTTTCGCTCGAGGCCGTCCCCGCGAGCGAGCGAGAGAGAGAGAGAGAGAGAGAGAGTGCGAGAGAACCAGCGGGGGGAGGCGGCCCCAGGTGGCAGGACCAGTCGCCGCGGCACCACCCCGATCCGGGCCGGGGCCATCCCAGGCCTGGTGAGGGGTGCCGGCGCCCCCGCCTATGCAACTAAAGCATGTCGACCGGCCGGCTGCCCAGGGCGGCGCGCGTTCGCGCCCGGACACGCAGGCCGGAAATGCCCCGCCAGCGCCCTGGCGCCCGCACCCGGGGAATGTCCCGCACCTGGGGGGGGGGGGGGGGGGGGGAAATATAGGGCCGGGGCGGGGGGGTGGAATTCACGGCCGTCATCCGCGGGCGCCAACATCCCCGAGACCAGGACAGCCTTGTACATGCCAGCGCTCGCGGCCCCCATAACTCGGCCCGCATTCCGGGAACCCATTCTCGCCATGGCCGGCTTTTTTGCGGCCCAACGCGCGTCGATGGTCCCCCCGCGCCCGGCCCCCTCGCCCCCCCCCCCCTGGCACGACCGACCGACCGAGCGTCCCTCTGGCCGGCGTCCGTGGGTCCGGCTGCCCGCCCCCCGGGCCGGTGTGGTGTGCCGGTGCCCTGACGCTCGGCCCCCGCCTCCCCGGGTGGCCGGGGCCTGTTGCCGGCTGGCCGGCGTCCCCGATCGATGGCCGTCCTCCCCGGGCCGCGGACCGATCTTCAGCTGCCTCCGTTCGTGTGCCCCTGGCGAGCCGCCCTTCCTCGGTCGAGTTTTCCGAAGGGCCGAGGGGATGCTCGTTCTTTGCCCTGCTGGCACCCTGTTCGCCGACAGGGCAGCTGAACATGCCGTCCCGGAGGGTGCCGCCCGCCCTGGTTGCCGGAACAACAGGCCACATTCCCAAGGAAGTGGTACCACGCACCCAGGCACGCGCGCGTACGCAGGCGCATGCAGGCGGGTGCAGGCACAGACACGCGCATGCACAAACAGACACACGCACCCATGCACAAACAGACACATGCACGCACACACATTAATACACCAATACATACACAGATACACAAACACTTACACACTATAAAAGCCGGCGACAGGGCGACCGCTCCCCGCAGAGGCCCAGCCACACCTCAGCCATCTGCCCCCCCCCCCCCCCCCCCCCCCCCCCCCCCCCCCCCCCCCCCCCCCCCCCCC